TTTTGCCCGTGGGAAGAGCGTAAAACAATGTCAATATTTCACTTCTTATTTTTCAGTGATGGTAATAATATGAGGGAAAAATAAAAAATGTAAAAAAAAAAAATTAAAATAAAATGTATCCTGTAACAAATAATATTTTTGAGTATGCGATACTTACTTGCTGAACGGTTACGGTTCTTTGTAGATATTTACTTGTTTTATATATGAAATATTTATAACGGCGCCTTTTTATACCGTCTACCACTATCATAGTACGCAAAAAGCTGAAGTTCTTAAACAGCACCCTATCTCTTCCTTAGTGTGAGGACCGGATCTTACAACACAAGATTGTAAGGTCGTCAGGGTCTTTCAACTAAATTCAAGATACTAACTGACCTTTATTGTTTCAAACAGAAGAGAAGTTGGTGAACAAGATTTTGAGAGGTTTTTGCTTGTAAGAGACTTACTTATGTCAAATTTCATTGCTATACTCGTATTTCTAAGCCAGTAATGAGCGTTAAAGTCGTTTTGTGAAGGGGACCTTATATGGGGGGTAGGGTCAATTATGGAGCGATCCACATAAAATTTGGCAGAGAGATTTTGACTCGCATGAAACTTGTGTGTAGAATTTCATCGCTATATTCTAGTTTTTAAGCCAGTAATGAGCGTTATAGTGATTTTCAGAAGGGGACCTTATATGGGGGGTAGGGTCAATTATGGACCGATCCTCATAAAATTTGGTAGGGAGATTTTAGCTCATATGAAACTTTATATGTCGAATTTCATCGCTATACTCGTACTTTTAAAACAGATATGCCCGTTAAAGCTGTTTTTCGGGGGTCCACTTGTATGGGGGCTATCCGAAAACGTGGACCGATATTGCCCATTTTCAATACCAAGCAACCTTATGTATAGAGAATATTTGTGAAAATTTCAACCTTCTAGCTCATTCCGTTCGGACTCTATCGAGCTTTCAACAGACAGACAGACGGGCAGGCGGACATATGGACAGACGGACGGACATGGCTAGATCGTCTTAGAATTTAATAAGGACCCAGAATATATATACTTTTGTATGACCAATATTTCGATGTGTTACAAACGGAATGACAAAATCAATATACCCCCCATCTTTTTTGATGGTGGGTATAGAAAAGTATAGTCGGGCGTGGTCGACCATATGATACCCTACAACAGTTATGCATTTATTATTAATAATATTTATTTTGTTGACAAATATCATTTCAGTAATCATTATGGTTTTTAGTATCATTTATGCTTGTATAAACGTAGTTGTGCCTATTTTTGTAGGGAAATTAGTATATTTGGCATAATTATAAGCTTCAAATCCCAATAATGGACCGATATCAACCAAAATCAATAGGGTTCGTCCAAAAGTAATATGTGTACCAAATTTCATCCAATTATCTTCAAAATTGTAGATTGATTACAAGGTTTACATGGACAGGCAGACGGAAGGACATGGCTTAATCAGAAAATGATTCTGAGCCGATCAGAACACCGGTGTCTCAAGATTTTCTTTACATTTTTATCGATTTAGAGCGTATTTTTGAGTTCATAGCTACAGTAAATGGTTATTTCCAAAGAAAAATACGTTATTTTTTACAATTTGAAGTCACGACAAAACACTTTTTCCATTTTTTGTGAAAGGGTTAAAGGTGGGTATAGAAACATTAATTCTATGCGTTAAAAACATCAACACAAATCCAGGGTATACCCTACATATACATATTTCTATCCAAATTCAATTATTTTAAAATTTCTACTAAAATCTTAAAAAATGTTTTTTTTTTTTTTCAATTTTTATTTAAGTTTCTTCATTATTTGACATACAACAACTTTAAAAAAATGCCTCCATAGTAGGTGAAATAAAAAACATGATTTTCTTTCAGACACAATGTTACTTGTTGTTTATTTCCTCAAATTGTAACTGTCATTCTAATCAAAGTCTAAACTACAGGGTGGGAGCTACTTGCTTGCTGACGTCTGCTTGGCCTCAATTTTTCTTTGTAAAGCTATTGCAAGTCATGTTAACTGTCGTTCACCTATCCACTAACTCGTAATATGAAGAGTTTGTGTCTTTTTATTTTCTTCGAATTTTTTATATTTCCTTGAATGTTGTTTAGTTTTTATTTTAGTTGTCAGTTTCATTTATATTTTTTTACGCTTATGCTTTTTACTATATTCTGTTACAACTATTAGTGAACAACATAAATTAGTTTAAATTGAAGGTGTTTTTAATTTTTTATGTCTGCAAACAATTTTTAAATTTCCCTGCTAAAACGTTGCTTATCGTTGATTGTCAATAAAATATCATCACAAAGACGTTTAGACAATAAATTTTATTAAAAGCGGTGTTGAGACATTGTGTCAACCATTTTAACTCGAAATTTATTAAAACAGTTGGCAAAGGAATTTTTCAATATTTTTGTTAACATAATATAATTCGACCCACATAAGTTTCATGCGAGCCAAAATCTCTTTATTAAATTTTATGTGGATTGGTCGATAATTGACTCTACCCCCCATATAAGGAAAATGGTACTATAATGCTCATTACTGGCTTAAAAATACGAGTATAGCAATGAAATTCGACTCAAGTAAGTTCCTAGTGAGCGAAAATCTCTTAACCAAGTTTTAAGTGGATCGGTCCATAATTGGCCCTACCCGCATATAGGGTCCCTTTCATGAAATTACTTTAACTATCATTTTCTGCTTACAAATACGTGTACAGTTTGAAATTTGATATAAGAAACTTTTATAGGAAAGAAAATCTTCCTACCGAATTTTATGAGGAAAGTGTCGGTGACTCACCCTACCCGCCCATATTATCCTGCCTTCAGAACATTATTTTAACGATAATTACTGGCATAAAACTGCGAGTACAGCGATGATATTCGATGTATATAAAAATTAATATAAAAATGAATGTGTGTTTGTATGTTTATATGTTTGTATATTTGAAGTTTATAGACTAGCAGCAGAGGGCGTGGCACCTCCCATATAAATTAAATTCACAAATTCGTTTATCTTGAATACTATTACAACTAGAATCTTAAAATTGCACGAAGAACTTTAACATCCATGTAAACATTTTGGGTTATAAATTGGCGGACTACCAATGAGGGGAGCGATACCTCCCATACGAATTAATTACAAAAATTCATTTATATAGGAAACTAATAGAACTAAATTTTTCAAATTTTGCACGAAGAACTTTAATATTCATCTGAACATTTTGTAAAAAACAGGCCGGGTTTTCATCTGGCGGGCTTGGAGCACCCATATAAATTAAAAAGAAAGATTCGTATATCTGAGAAACTATTAGAGCTAGAATCTTCAAATTTTACATGAAGAATTTTGATATTCATGTGAACATTTTGAGAATAATGGGGGTTTGGCACCTCCCATATGAATTAAATACTAAATTTCGTTTATCTGGGAAACTAATAGAACTAGATTCTTCAAATTTTCACGAAGAACTTTAATAGTCTTCAGATTATTTTGGAGCAAAAAGGGCGGACTTTCATCTGGAAGGGTTTGGAACCTCCATATTAATTAAATAGAAAAATTCGTGTATCTGAGAAACTATTAGGGCTAGAATATTCAAATTTTACATTAAGAACTTTGACATTCATCTGAATATTCAATAATGGGCGGACTTTCAATGGGGTATTTGCTACCTCCCATATGAATTAAATACAAAATTTGGTTTATCTGGGAAACTCATAGAACTAGATTCTTCAAATTTTTCACGAAGAACTTTAATAGTCATCAGATTATTTTGGAGCAAAAAGGGCGGACTTTCAACTGGAGGGGTTTGGAACCTCCATATTAATTAAATAGAAAAATTCGTTTATCTGAGAAACTATTAGGGCTAGAATCTTCAAATTTTACATTAAGAACTTTGACATTCATCTGAATATTCAATAATGGGCGGACTTTCAATGGGGTATTTGCTGCCTCCCATATGAATTAAATACAAAATTTGGTTTATCTGGGAAACTCATAGAACTAGATTCTTCAAATTTTGCACGAAGGACTTTAATATTCATCTGAACATTTTGGAGAAAAAAAGGCGGACTTTAATTTGGGGGCTTGGAGCCCCCATATGAATTAAATAGAAAAATTTGTACATATATCTGAATGCTATAAGTATATGTAACAAATTGTATATGTGGAAAACTATTGTAGTAAGAATCTTCAAAATCGTTAAGTGGGGTATTTATTTATATTGCTTTTAGGGTAGCAAAGCACACTGGGTATAGCTACTGTTTTATATAAACCAAAATCGGTTTAAAAAAAATTATGAAAAACTGTCAATAATTCACCCTTCCCCTCATATAAGGTCCTCTGCAGTTAATTTGATGAGTAGGAATGAAATAGCTTTCCGAATCCAAAAGCCCTCGTATTTTTTCTAAAATTAGATAATTACAGTTTCTTGCAACATACATATATCATGGAGCAGGTATATATATATAAGTTATTCAATCTGTATATATCAATGAGAAATATTCATCTGACACCCAATAAGATATCCAGCAAAAACATATACTTACTCAACAGCTTACTTTTCAATGACTAATACATACCGTCTGCATTACTTAAGAGGAGTCTAGTAATGACTTAGTCATCTTTATTACCACACATTTTTCACACATGTAGGGAATAAGAATTTTCTATAATTAACAATTTGCACAAGACCACTTAGACAATTTATTTTACTAAAATGTCGCAACAAAATGTGTACAATAATGTTTACACGATTTCTTAAGATAATATTTATTTTATATTCCAGAAAACATCTGTACAAATATTTTTATAAATTTTTAACATAATGATTATGCATTGGAAACAACAACCATTATTTGATTAAAAACGTATTTTTACATAATTAAATAATGACTTAAAACAATACGCTGTTTAAATAAATAATCAAACATTTTTGATATAAATACACAACAATTTAAATATTAATATATTGTTAAGTGAAAATCAAAATGAAATTTTTACACATTTTATCTCTGTTATTGGTGGCTTTGGTGGCCTACGCCTCGGCTCAAATGTGTCCAGGAAGTCCACGTAAGTTAATTTTGTTAACTAATTACATTGTCACTATTTAAATATTAACTCATTTTACATATTTTCTAGGTGCTCCCGCATGTGCAGGCTCTCGAAGTGATGGTCGCGGTGGCCGAGGTTGTGTACCCCGTCGCATGTGGTACTGGGATGGTCGTTCTCGACAATGTCGTGAAATGCGTTACTTGGGTTGTGGTGGCAACAGCAATCGTTGGTGTTCTCTGGCTGCCTGTCAACGCAGATGTCGTCGTCGTTGAGTTTTCCAAAATTGAGCTTTTCTTTTATAATTTAATAGAATGTTTTATTTAAAAAAATTTTTATTTGTCTTAATTACATCCTTGTTTAAGAAGTTCGTTAAAATGTTAATCAATTTAATTAATTTTTTAATTGATTGCGAAAAATTGGCCGACCATAAGATACCCTACACCAGTGAGTGAATGGGGAAATTCCGAAATATTGTAAGAATTGTTACAAAAAAGTGATTTTCTGAAAGAGGGGTTATATGGGGGCAATAGTAAATATAGTCCCATCCGTAAACATTTTGGTAAAGCGATTTACGATGACATTAATGATATTTATGCAGAATTTCAATGTGATAGTAGTGTTTAAAGGTGAATTTCCACCTTCAAGTCATTATCTGAAGGGGACTTTGTATGGGTCAAATGAGGCCCTATCATTACGAAAATCGGCAGTATCATTTATACTTATATAAAACTAAGATATGCCGTTTTTTTGTAGAGATTGTACAATATTTAACATTATTATAAGCTCAAAAGCCCCATTTGGTAAGATTGTATGAGAGCTAGGCGAAATAATGGACCTATTTCAACCATTTTCAAAAGGAGAGTATGTGCCAAATTTCATCAAATTATCTTGAAAATTGCGACCTGTAGCGTGCGCACAAGGCTTAAATGGACACACAGACGGAGAGACAGACAGACAGGCAGATGAACAGACGGTCATAGCTTAATAGACTCAGAAAATGATTCTGAGCCTAATAACATATCGTCTTTAAACGAGACTAGCATCGGAAACGATCGACGAATGGGCTGCAGAAATACTCAGTCTTCTTCAACTAAGGGGATATTGACACTCTTTGTCTTGGATAGAAATTCGTTAAGGCTTCTTATAAGCATACTACGCATAGCATAATACACATGCCATATTGAAGGTAACTGTTTGTGTTAAGTTGTTAAGAAGAAGAAAAATCTGTACAGCACTTTTTATGTGACTTTACCATCTCTACAAGTGTGCAGAATTAGATATCTTGGTTCAAGCCTCTTTTATGATCTGAAATGTTGCAAAAATGTGTTACTACGGAGGACAATATAAGAGTATCACAATTGTCTAAATGTCCTCAGAGTGTTCTGTGTAAATCGGGAGCTCATAATTGACCCTACCCCCATTTAGGACCAATTCAGAGAACTACTTTAAAACACTTAATTTTATAAACATCGTTCCGTAATTGTGCCTACTCCACTTTATATAAGGTCCTGGCCTTCTTGTTCGTTAGTTCGCTGTCTTACTCACAACACCACCGCTTAAAAATAATGGTTTAACATATAAAAACAAGTTTCTTTGTGTGTGTGTGTAAAAACAGTTGCTAGGGTACACTCCAGCAACTGTATTTGATTATACGTAAGTCATTATAAGAGTACTTAAAAGTAATGCAGACGGTAAGTAGTAGTCTTTGAAAAGTAAGTGGTTATGTAAGAACAATCCATTACCGAGTTTTTGCTGGGTAACTATGTAACCAGTACAACAATTAGCCCTAAACAAGTTTTATAGAAAATTTAATCTCTGTGGCAAATTTCATTACAATCAGTCCATATTCGATCCAAGCACCTATATATGTTCCACTTCATAAAATGATTCAAATACTTATAGCTTGCTTAAATAAATTCGACATAATCAACTTTTCTTCAAAATTAACCCCGTCCCCTACGTAGCACCACTTTCATTTTAGAATTATATATAATTCGATAAAGGGGATTTGATTTCAACACTAATTTCCCTTTTAAATCCTTCAGAGATTGGTCCATAATTTGAACCTTTATAAAGGCTGTTTGTTGAAAATCATAAGCATAAATCTAAGAAATTAGTAAATGGTATTATCTTATGGCGGTATATAGGATTCGATATAGCCGAATATAACATCCTAACTTGTGTACCGTTTACAATAAGTTTGATAATGATTATGAAAAGTATAACTTGGTATACAAATATGAAATATGAAAACTTTTTAAACATGTATTTGCAAATTTAATTTTATTTCATTAAAATCTAAAAAGTTAAAACATTCAAATGAGACTACAGCTTAACGACGACATCTCTGTTCACAGGCAGCGCGAGTGCACCAACGATTGTTGTTGCCACCACAACCCAAGTAACGCATTTCACGACATTGACGAGAACGAGCATCCCAATGCCACATAGTGCGAGGAGTGCAGCCGCGTCCACGGCGACCCAAATTGCGAGCGCCAGTACAAGAAGGATTACCTGTAAAGATTGATTCGAAATTAATAAATAATATTTATTAATAGTTTAATATAAAGTCAACTTACGTGGTCTACCCACACATCTTTGGGCCGAGGTATAAGCCACTAAAGCCACCAACAATAAAGTTAAAATATGCAAGAATTTCATTTCGTTTTTTTTCAGTGAACAATTAATTAATATTTAATAAATTGATAATGATATAATTTAGCTGATGTTATCAGTATTTATATGAAATTGAGTGGCATTTAAATATAACGGTCTTCTGTTTAAATTTATTGTTTAAAAGTTTTGAAAGCAAATTTCGATACACCGAATATTAGTTGATATTCTTTACAAACAGACATCTGGTTAAAATATAAAAAAAGTTAATAATTTATTTAAAATAAATCATTAACAATTAACTAATTAAACAATATATATAAACAAGTGTTTTATTGATGATATTTGAACAAAGATTCCTACTTTTACTTCATAACATCTGTTTTAAAATTTGGAAGTTAAAATTTCATATTTTCATGATTATGTTTGAATGTAATTAAAATAAAAACCTACTTTAAACAAATACAATTAAATAATTTAAAGAAAAGAACACTTGTTCAAACTCCGTTCTTTTCGTCTCATAAAACAAACTTTCTTTTAAAACAATAAGCGATTTATTCTTAATATAAATACATACTCCAACAATCTTTAGTATTAAATCATTAATATTCCAATAATTCACAATTTGTTAAATAATATGAAAATTTATAAAATCTTAGCTTTATTATTGGCATTTCTAGTGACGTATAGCTCTGCTCAGGGATGTCGTGGAAGTCCACGTAAGTTTATAAATAAATTTAATAGCGTTTTTGGCCATTTTTAAATTAAATCTATATTTTAGGTAGTCCTGCTTGTACCGGTTCCCGAAGTGGCGGTTGGCCTGGTCGACGTTGTTTTGCCCGTATTATGTGGAATTACGATACACGTACTAGACAGTGTCAACCATTTCATTACTGGGGTTGTGGTGGCAGCAATAATCGTTGGTGTACACGTGAAATTTGCGAACAGAGGTGTCGTCGCTAAGTAGATAATAAAGAGTTTTTGTGCAAAATTTAATTAACACATTTTTCTTTAAGTTTGTCATTCAGTTTACAACAACTTTTAAATATTGTTAGAAAAAAATAAAAACATGTTATAGTGTTATATTCGGCTATGCCGAATATTAAATACCCTTCACCAGCAAGCTACTTTTTATTAAAACCCATTCTAGTGACGGTATGTACTAACATTTATAAATATATCGTACTAACTTTGATTAGGTCCAGAAAATATAGGCCATTTCGAAAACATTTTAATATGATTTATCTATACACAGAATATACTCATATCGAATTTTGTCCGAATATAAACATTTAATTAATAACGAATTAAGTGGTATTAAGTAATTTTCAGAAATAAACCTTATTTGGGAGCTAAGACAACTTATGGACCGATCCGGAAAAATTCCGTATAATAATTTATATATACCAAATACACATTTATTTCGAATTTTATTCCAATAACTTTGATTATCAATGTGCATATAAGTAATTTTCGTAAATGGTCCTTATATGGAAGTTGGGACCAATTATAGATCGAAAAAAATTTTATATACATATGATTTAAATGTCAAAAAAAATTAAGTCGAATTTTACTTCAAAAGATTTATTAATTAATGAAATATATGCGTTTAAGTGATTTTCGGAAGTGGACATTATATATGACCAATTACGAGCCTATCCGGAAAAAATTCTTAGAGAATTCACATGTACACAAAATATATTTGTGTCGAATTTTATCAAGATAGCTTTATTGGATAATAGAATATGTGCGTTTAAGTGATTTTTTGAAGTGGACCTTAAATGGGAGCTATTACCAATTATGGACCGATTCGGAAAGAATTTGGTAGAATGATTTATATGCACAATAAACATACTCAAGTCGTACTTTATCCCGATAGCTTTATTATTTGATGAAATATATGCGTTTTGGTGATTTTCGGAAGAGGACCTTATATGGGAGATATGACCAATTATGGCCCTATCCGAAAAAAAACGTAGAGTGTTTCATATATAAACAAAACATATTTGTGTCGAATTTTATCGAGATAGCTTTATTTCACAATGACATATTTGTGTTTAAGTGATTTTCGGAAGTGGACCTTATATGGGAGCTATGACTAATTATAAAACGACTAAGATCTACGTTGACAGTATGGTTTTTATTCATATTATATTTACATATCCAAAATTTGTGTTGATATCAATATATTTGAGGGAGTTATTAATGATAAACTAATTACCGGGAATATATACCTTTGTATGGGGTCTATAGGAAATATTGGATCAATTGTTATGAGTTTTAACATACTTGATCTCTGGCAGAAAAAAATAACGTGTTAATTATCTTTGGTTGTTTCTAAGAAACCTACTCAAGAATTAGGAAAAAAACTTTTTTTTTCGATGTAGTCTGAAATTTTTACTAATACCCTTTTTAAGTTATGAACCGATGTTTCTGATTTTCAATACCAAATTGCTTAGGAAAACAATGAATATTCTCAGAGAATTTGGTTAATTTCATTTGCTTAGTTTTAACGTGAGCGTGTTTTAACCAGACAGACGGACATAGCTAAATCAACTCAGAATTTCATAAGGACCCAGAATATATATACTTTGTTGGGTCTCAGAAGAAAATTTCTTTGTGTTACAAACGGAATGATAAACTTATATATACCCTCTATCACCACTGATGGTGGTGGATGATATAAAAAATATTTTCTATCAATTATAACAAGTCAGAGTGTCACGATTCTCAAATACCCACCTCTTATAAGCTGAATTTATATTGAAGGCCATTTATTTGCAATTTTTAATCCACCACCGCCCCATTGTGTATCTTACACGCCGGTTTCAATTTTTGTACATGCTTCTACAGTTGCATGTACAAGCACTTTGCTCTAGTACTCGACCCTTCTTATCACCGACTATTGCTGCCCGTTGCATAACTTCCATGATGAAAAATCATCACTTCCGTTTACAACCACGCATATTGGATGGTTTGTCTGTTAATTTAACAACAGCAGCACCTAGAATCGTAATCAGTAGACCTAAATACGAATCCATCAAATAAGCCGAAGACTTCTTCTTACTAACAGAGAACACACTGTTATCAACAGATTAAACGCTGAAAATCCGGGTATTTTCAGGAAGGATAAGGTAAGAAGGAAAGGTATCACCTAACATCCATCACCATTCAATCCAGCGTACTTTTTATTCATCCGAGAAAAAATCCAACACACTCACTCTAGGTATACGGATGGATGGGGCTCGCACATCCCTACATCCATCCCATATTATATACACTTGACACCAACTTATTTCCAACGCTTAGCCCCTCAGTCACTTCTCTGTTGTCTGTTGCTTTGCAACAGCATCGAACTTATCCAGAATTATAGACTTTACCGTTTCTATGAAGTAACCTTATCATAAAGGATGCATCAGGCAATAAAGACAACAGACAAATGGTGGATAGAAGGCTAACAATCAACCTAGAACTACTATTGTGCCACTCACATGGCGTAAATCTCTGTAACTATTGCCAAAGACTATTAGGTAGTACATGGTAATACATAATAAATACCATGCTAGCATATTCGTACTGCCCTTGCCTGATGACAAGGTTTATCATCATCGTGTTATATTTCTGCACCTTTGAACAAACATTCTTATTAAGAATGAAACTTGTAAATCAGAAATTTTTGCCAGATTGAAAACTGTTGACTTGGAACCACACATGAACGACTCGATTTCGTGACCAACTTTGGTTTTCGATCCATCCATCAAAAAGGGATCCATCCATCAAAGACATTGCGGCGAAGAAATGCTGATCAAGATATTGAAACTGATAAATTATCTCGGAATATTACAGGATTTATATATTAGCCCATTTAGCTGTATAAAGTTAGATCTGGCATTGCAATTTTAATGTCATCAATGAGTGAATAAGAAATACACAATAAATTACCATTGTGTTGAATACCAGGCAATGAACGGGCAAATAGAAGTGCTCGTCGATCATTTATTGGCCCTGAATCTTTATATGATATTCTACAAGGTTATTCTTTGCTCGCTGCTGGGTAAACATATCAGGACAAAGCGTTTAATAACACTATTAGAGGGAGAATCATAAAACCTCGCTTAATAAAAGTGCTTTATAACAACATTCATGTATGAAATAAACTGCCTAAAGATCCCAAATCGGGAAGTAATGCCCCTTCTAATTTAATCTAGTGTAACTTTCTATGAAATATACATGCTTTAAGTTAATTTTTAAATGTCACCACAATGTTCGTTAAACGAAAAAACTAATTCTAAATCCATTAAAAGTATCCTTTCTTCATAATTTTTGTAAATGTTATTTTGTTCTAGTTTCATTTTGATTTGTTTTGAAAATATTTCTCTCTTTTCAGGATTTTGTATTAGTATTGTGCATTTCACATTCTAGTTTAACCATAAATTTTAAAACTACAAGTATCACACACATAAACATATGATTAATTGCATATTTTTTTTTTAACTTAACATAAAATGTAAAACTGAACCTCTTTTGTTAAATTGATTAACTGCATTTTGTGGTTCAAATTGAAATAAGAGATTAAATACTACAATTGAAATACATATATGTAAGTGAAATTTTTAACTTCAAAAATAATATTTTATTTCTTTTAAAACTGTTTAAAAAACTTTAAGGAAACCACTTGTCATTTCAATGAAAATTTCAATGTCTAAAACAGAAAACAACCAAAAGCATAAATTATCAAGCATTTTCAAGAATAACTTATAAACTAAATTAGGTGATTTAGTTATATGTTATAACCAGGGAAACCGAAAACATGCTCTAAAAAAAGTGTTTTAAGCGCTTTAAATATGCCGTAAAAAACTCAAAATATGCTCTTAAAATTTAAAATATATGCTCCAAAAACAAAAATTTAATTATTTTTTAACATTGAAAAGCTCAAAAAGACTGAAATTGTAATGAAATAATAAATGTTTAATGTCATATTCTATATCCTACAAGATTTTTTTATAAATGTTTCATCTCATAGTTTGAAGAACTAGTTTAATAGAATTCCGTTTTACGTTCAGATAACCAATAAATAAATAAAACCATTTGGTCCATTTGGTCCCCAAAAAAAATATTTCAAACGACAAAGTTTGACACATTTCTTACAATTGTATTCATAGCTTTTAAACTGACATTTTAATCGGTGTTGTCATAAATTCCAATAATTAGTTTTTTAAACTATAAAAATGGATTGGTCTCATGAAATCAAAAGTAATCGGTTTTATGTCCGATTTAAAATGTTATGCTTTATTGAATAAAAAACTATAACATTGGTTTTCATGAGAGTAATGTATTTTTTGCAGTTTTCAAGTTCTTGTAAAATAGGCTAAAAAATTAAAAAAAAAAAATAAAAAAAAATATTTTATTTTTTTTAAATAAAGTTTTGAAAAGAAAATTAAAAATGTACAAAAACGAAAAAAAGCGAAAACATCAAAATATGCACTAAAAGAGTAAAATATGCTCTAAAAACTCGAAAATATGCCTTAAATATGCTAAAAAAGTCAAATCATGCAAAATTATGCTCTTATGGGTAAAATATGCAAAAATATGCTCTAACAAATCGATGCCAAAATTCTTAAATTGGTCTGAAACGTGTAAATATCTTATCCATGAGTCCATACGACGCACCACAAAAAACATGCATTTGCATATTTTGGTTTCCCTGGTTATAACATAAGCTTTATGAACAACTGCAAAAACTATTAAGAATCTTTTAATCAACTCTTTAAAAAATATCTGTACATGTAACTTTAAAATCGAGCTGTGTTTGTTTGAAGTTGAAAATATTTACCTAGACATGATCAGAATAATGAGAAAATATAAGTATGTATGTTTTCTTTTCATTTTCACAAATTGAAACTGTCAGATAGTCATTCCTATGAAGCTGGTTTCATCAACTAACTAAACACAACAACATATTGACAAAAGACACAAACATAGGATTTGAATATGAATATTAGAATGGCACCATTCCTCAGGAGAATAACAAAATAGAAATTTTACTTCATTTATATATGTGAACTGCATGAACATATCGAGCCCTTTTTGCAAAATGGACGTAAGCGACTTGATTT